CTCCAAATGAAAAACACACAAACAGAATACTGGTCAGCTGATGGCTTTCCTTTCATCTCCTCTCCTCCAGGCAGTCAGAGTCGGGGCCTGAGCTCCAAGAGCAAGTGGCCAAATCGTAGCTGAATTTTCACAATCCCTGGTCTCCCAGGCTCCCAGGCTCCCAGGTTTCCAGGTTCTTAGGCTCTCAGGCTCCCAGCCTCCCAGGTTCCTAGGCTCCCAGGCTCTCTGATGGGCACTGAGGCTCCCGATGCTCTGGACCAGACTATACACAATCACAGGCTGCCATAGCTGACCATCCAGCAGCACAGGCACTGAATGGCTAGTTAATGTTTGCTCCTGCACCAAACAAAGCTCTATACATCAGTAATGTCAACCAGTTCCTGGCCCTTGCCTGTACTGCGTCTTAGGTATTTTCAGCAATGAGCAGTCCAGGTCTCTCAGAAACAGGGATCCACCCATGTGAACCCCCCGTCCCCAGTACTGTCCTTACAATAAGGAGCCTGATATTTGGATCACTTTATCTGGTAGATAAAGAATCCTGTTTCCAAGGGAGGCAGTACACCAATATCAGAAAAGCAGTAAGCCTCCTTCTCAGAAACCACACCGGGACTAACAGTTCCCAGTGAGTTGCATTGTAGTGAGAGTCTATAAAACCAGGAACTGGAAAGACAAAACGCCCTGGCTTCTCTATTTAAATGGTAGGCTCCAGTTTTTCTTCGTGGAATAATCGCATCATTGGCCTTGTAAAACCATGAGACATATCATATACACAAACAAGTCTGCATAGATTAATTAGAAGAAAAACAGAAACAAATCCCATATAATCACCATTCCGTTTAAAAAGCATGAGTAGCACCATCACTTTGAATTCCGTTTCTCTTGCTGATATACAGAGGGGGTTAGCAACCTTTAATACTTACCAGTAAATGCTTGTTCTTACATTTTACTACAGACTTTACCAATGCACTATGCACTTGCCTATTCTGCCTTGTGCAAACACAGCTCTGACAAGGAGTAGACACCCGATGTGGGTGTCACTTATGCACAGACACAGCTGTCTTCTCAGTATTGGTGCTCCCCAGAAGGTGACCCCTTCCACTGCTGCTGTGTGCCTAGACATCTCTGTGCTGCTATGGCACCCACGTGAAGAGCCAAGCTGAAGATGTGCACGCTACCGACTTTTTAGCTTCTATAAGAACATTTCCATATGGGATAGAGCAGCTGACAGTAGTGTGAGGTCTGGATGGCCTACAGCCTGTCAGCTCTAGGCATCAGACAGACCAGGCGGTATAAAATGGCAACTCAATGTCATTTCAGTCCGGGCTTCTCTGAGTACAGATAGGTACGGCTGACCGCCTTCTCCTGTGCTACCTGGCCATTTATGTTTTCTAATTTGTAAGCTGCCCAGTCGTACCTTCTGCTCATGTCCCCATCTTGTGTTTTTCTCACTCATAGAAGGTGCTTAGAACCTTCCAGAACCCACTTCTGCAGCAAGGGCTCCTGCTCACCTCCTAGGTCACTACAGGCTGGAACGTCCCAGGGCCCAATCACTCATCCCTTATTGACCTCATTCAGCCTTTGACAGCTAACACATTGTATATACTCACTACCACAAATTTCATGTAGGTGGCCTGGTTTCCTTCACTGAGCTCCAGGGCTATTGCCCAACACCTTACTGGACAATACTTCAAGGAAGTCTACCAGGAGACACAAACCTAAGATACCCAGCTCCATCCACATGTCCAGACTTCCACAACAGACCTGGTCCTGGAGTACTCACATCTACAGCCACACCACCCAAGCCCCATTCCCAGTTCTATTCACTGCAACCCATTTTTCTAGCGCTCACACCACAGATTCCACGTCACGTTTGCATCTTTCACGGCCATATCTGGTTCATCCCTTGCTCAGGTTAGAATTCAGTCGTTTGTCACACACACGTCATCTCACAGTTCCACAGCCCAACTCTCAGCAGGAAAGTTCTACGGTAAACATGTCCCACAGACCTCAGTGTCTCGGGGCCAGAACCCAATACTGTATTCACTTCTTTCCTGAGGGCTTTCCTATGCCCATCCCAAAAGGTGGGGGTTCCCTGGCCTCTCCCCTAAAAGCCTTCGGCTAATAACTAACAGTAGTTGATAAAGACTCCCTCCTTGTCACTTACCAGAATGGCAGGTATGCCTCACACTCACCCCGAACTCCCTATAGGGGAACTTCTAGTAGTAGATACCTTGTGGGCGGCCACTCTGCCCCCCACTTCACTGCTTCCCAGTATTCCCAACATCAACTTCCAAATGAAAACCTAGCACCAAACTCTGGAATAGACTCTGTTTCTGAGAGATCCCAACAGAGACAGCTACTTGCTTCTGGGCTTTTCTGTGCCTCGTTCCCAACAAGGAGCTAGAGGCAGGACTTAAACAATCCCTCCTAAGACTGCTTACTCAAAATAGAAGCCCCAGTCACATTTTGACAGAAAGCATCATACTCCCTGCCCAGGATGCTTAGCTCCACCTCCTGCTATCCCCTATGCAGTATGATGAGCCGAAGTTAAACCTGAAGGGCCTTCTTCCAGAGATAGCTGATTTTCCTACATTTTTAGAACAAATTATTCCTATCTCAAAGTTTTTCTTTTTCTTTTTTTTTTTTCTGGTTAGTTTTGCACGTAAGAGGCCATCAAATGACCTATGACTCCATGCACTGGACAACAGACTCTTTGAGGGTATCCGAGAGTACCCTTGGTTCTTTGGATGTGTTCAAATGCATTCTCAACATGGAGCTTCTGTGTAAGAAGATATCGTGATTGCATGACCATAGATAAAGGGTTATTTACTAGAGCATGGGATACTTGGCAGTGGCTACACCACTAAAGAAAATGGTACCCCTTTCCCAGCAAGAGTTACCTGCCAATATTCCCTCAGGGTCCCTGACGAAATGTTTCATGGCTCGATCTTGTACATACGCTAACCACATTGCATGGGGTTTCATGTGTGTAAGTATTCATGTGTGTATGGGCTTGTAGGCACATAAGTGTATATTCACATGGAGGTCAAAGGTCAACCTTTAGGTTTCACCCTCCTTACTTTGTTTTGCTGTTGCTGTTGTTTGTTTCTGACAGGGTCAGCATCAGACTGACCAGCAGAGTTCATAGAACATCAACTCAGGGCAAGCAAAGGAGGTACATAGAAGACAGTGGTCACAAGACGATCTACTGGGGCACAAACACAACACCCAGAGAAAGAAACAAACAAAGCAGTGAAACAGTAGCCAAAGCCCTGGACATGTGCTTTATGAAGATGGAGTGCTAACATCAAGGTGAGCTGGTGCCTCGGGGTACTGGAGCGCTCACCAGCCCTCCAGGGACCCAGCGTGGACTGTGCCCATCTTCCTGACATTGGGATCAACGAATCTTTGGGTCCTGTTCCAAAGGCTGGGGAAATTACACAAAGCTATGGCAGTCACATGATTAAAAGGGGACTTCCTCAGAAAGCCAGCATTGCTGTGCATGAGTTTCCACGTCGGTCAGTGTACCTGACTCTAACTATTCCAGAGGGCAGAGCTGCTGCTACATGGTGGACAAGAGAGAGGCCACTGGAACCTGGAGCTCCGATGTCATGGCTGGCCTTAACTGTGACTGGACTGTCACTGACCAGAGACAGACAAGTGGACGGCAAACAACAGGGTAAGGATATGGAATGCCCCACCAGGCCAGAAACCAGAGCAGCAGAGGCTTGGCCGTTTTTCTGGGACTCTAGAAGTGAGTAGAGAGACAGAAAGATGACACCAGGTCACTTGAACTGACACACCAGAGACCTCCGGTCTGTATCCCAGGGAAGCAGAAAGTGTTGTCTGAAAATATGTCCCTGTGACAATGGCACCAGCGGTGTCCCTTAGCTCAACAACAGCTGTAGCCAGAGCCCACTTCACCTCCACATGTGCACTTAGGGAGCTGTTAGGGGCTGCAGACCGACCCGGGACAGCCCTCTGCCCGTGTGGTTCAGACGAAAGATCCTGTAGTTTCTCTCCCTGCAGAAACAACTCTGATGGGGGCTTGCTGCATCTCAAAGGTCCTCCCTTCAAACTTGGCTCAGGATACAGCATTTCTTACCTTCTCCTACCATAGCTATTTCCTAGTCCCTACTGACTTTTTCTTTCTAAGAAGTAACTTTTGCATGAATATTCATTTCAGCAGCTGCTCCTATAGATGAGATTTTCTGGTTCCAATTTAATGTGTCACACTAAAAATATTGCTTTATGATTCCAATTCTTTGAAATCTGTCTACACCCTGATAGTGGACAATTTTTGGAGATTATCCATATATGTTTAATAAGAGTATCTCTAAATAGAGAAGGAGGGACTTAAAAATATAAATTCTTGTTGGGTTACAAATTCTTACTGGGTTTGGCTTATATATTCTTGATACCAGGTTGTTAATTACATCCAACACACACTCACACACATTCAAACACATACACAAAGACATATACACAATCACATACATCTTAAGATTCCTGTCTTCTTGGTTACCATGGAGCTCCAGGAAATTCTTAGGCTACCAACCTGAAAGACCTCTAAGAACCACTTTAAAAAAAAAGATCTATTTGTTTTGTGTGTATGTACGTTTTGTCTTCATGATGACTGTGTACCACATGCATGCCTGGTCCAAGGGAGTCAGAAGAGGATGTCAGATCTCCTGGAATTGATGTTACAGATGGTTGTGAACCTCTATGTGGGTGCTGGGAATTGAACCCAGGTCCTTCCTGAGAGTAGACAGTACTCTTAACTGCTGAATTAACTCTCTAACCCCAGAACTACATTCTTATCCAAGAAGAGCAACTGCTGCCTCAATACCCAACCATCTAGCCCCGTCTCTGGAGAACAGCAGTAGCAGCGACCTGTCCCAGAACTCAGTTCCAGTGGGACCTGGGGACACACCTCGGGGACAACCCTCCAGAAGAAAGCCACTTTGAACCCTGGATGGGGGACAGGAAATGCTACTTACCACAATCTCTGTTACTAAAATATCAGTAATACTTCCCAACACAGTGACAAAGTCGAAGACGTTCCAGGCATCTCTGAAGTAGTTCTAGAGAGAGAAGACAGCAGTGGCTAGTGGTAAAGGTTTATCCGGCAAGGACCTGCAGGCTGTGGTCCCTGATCAAGAAAGGGCTGGGAGAGTTGGGGGGGGGGCGGTAGATGCTTAACCTAAGGCCAACAACCAGCAGATGTCACAGTAAGCATGCAAATACTCCCAGCTGGGTAATTGTACATCTGAGAGCTATTAGTCCAGAAAGAAGAATCTCAGACTTGCAGGCCTCCTAACCCAAGGCGGGACAAGACTTAAGCAATTGGGAACAAAGCAGCTCTTCCTTGGGACTCCCACAGTATCACACGTGTTTCAAAGGTCACACAAATAAAGGGAAAGAATCCTAGAGGCACATACCAGAACCCCAAAGGCGATGATCTTCAATATGCACTCCATGGAGAACATGGATGTGAAGACAATGTTCAGGCATTTCAGCATCAGCTCGTACTCGTAAGGTGCGTCATAGAACTGCCCAGAGAAATAAGGGCTGACGGCCAAGATGCACCAACCCCAATACCCCGAATGGAGCCAATATAACTTCCTGTCATCTACGTCTGCCCATACCTGGGTCACCCCTTCTTGCTCTTTCCAGTTCTTCTAGAACCTTCTCACTGCCTCAGCTACAAATAAGAGAACAGGATCCCAGGGCACCATGCGATGGCCAGGACATAAGGTCACTCAGTTCCAACACGTGCCAGCAAGAAGGGGATCCTCCACTGGGCCTCAAAATAAGACACACACCCAGGCTGTATAACAGTTGTCTCCTAATTCAGACATCTCCTGCAGACAGACTTCCTAGGTCTGGGAAAGCTGAAATTTGCAAGAGCCACGAGGGTCCTTCTCCAGGATTGTAAGACAGAAAGATGCCAGGGGGGAAGGGGGGGAACTCTGACCAGTCTCATTGCAGAGAGGAGATTCTCAGATATGCTGAGTTGCCTGCGAGTTGTGCAGATAGCTCTTCCGTTATAGCGTCTGTGAGTCGTCATCTATGCTGGGGGTTTTGGTTTGTTTTTTGTTTTTGTTTGTTTTTTTAGTTTTTTATTTTGGTGATACAGCCACATCTGCCCTGTCCCTTCTTCTGTAAGTAACCCCAATAAAAATTCTTTGGTTCACCTAGTTGAACTTTGGTAGAACTGTTCCTTGATCTGTTATAGGTTCCCTATCTGGGGTGAGTAGTATTGTCTGTCTATTTGTATCTGTGAGGGTCTATGTGTGTATACGTGTGTATGTATATATGATGTCTCCCTATAAAAAGAAGTCTAACACACAACGGCCCCTGGCAAGTATGGTGGGCCTTACTTACCTTCATCATCAGCACCACCGTGTTGAGGGCGATCATGGCCATAATGAAGTACTCGAAGGGTGGAGAGACCACGAACGTCCACGTCTTATACTGGAACGACTGCTTGTTTTGGGGCATGTATCGTGTCAGGGGTTTGGCGCTGATGGCAAAGTCAATGCAAGCCCTCTGCAGGCAGAGAAGGGAATACCGTGAACTCAAAGCATCGCCCACTACACCTGGAACGTTCTCACCACGCCCTTTCAGGGAGCCCAGATAGGAGAAGGAAGTATAGGCAGCTAGGCTTCCTCCAAGTAGGCCCAATTGACCCAGCATAGCCTCTGTTTGCAGAAGAAAGAGGTCCTACCTATGCCAGCCACAGGGCAGACACACAGAGAAGGAAGCCTGGTGATCTTGCCCATATGCCCCCGTCCCGGGATTCCACGACTTCTACCTACCTCGTTCTTCTCCAGGCTGCATTCAGACATCACCTTGTCCCCCTGCTCCTGGAAGGTGATAATGATCAAGGCCACAAAGATGTTGACAAAGAAAAAAGGGAAGACCACAAAGTAGACCACATAGAAGATGGAAAGCTCCATCCGGAACCCGGGGCTTGGCCCCTGCTCCTCATAGGTGGCGTCCACAGAGTGTTTCAGCACCCTAGGTAAGGGGAGAGCAGACTTCAGGAGAGCTTCCAGGGCGCCTGGATCTGCACATCTGGCTTGGGGCTCAGGTCTGCACTTCAAGAGCAGAATTTATCTCTGTACCTCAGGGATGGGGATCCAGATGTGCACTTCAGGGACAAGAAGCAGGTCTGCATCTCAGGTTAGGACTTAGGACCACACCTTATGGATAGGGCTCACACGTGTACCCAGGGATAAGGTTGTTTGTATGTCAAGGACAGGGCACAAGTCCGCACTTCACAGAAACCCAGGGATGGTGCATATTTACATCTTAGGAATGAAACCTGGTTCTGCTCTAGAGGACAGGGCTCTTATCTATACCACACCTGGCCTCATTACAGGTCAGAAGCAGGTAAACCAAGCAGACTCTGCCTCAGCCTACCCGTTTTTGCCAAACTAGCACTCACATGGGCCAGCCCTCTCCTGTGGACACCGTGAACAGCGTCAACAGGGCCCAGAGCACATTGTCATAGTGGAAGTCGTATTTCTTCCACTGCCTCGGCTGAGCTTCTACTTCTTCCTTCTCGTAATCCAAATACTGACCCCTGAAAACAAGAACACAGACAAAAATTAAAGCTGCTCAGTGTAGATGCACCCATGGATCTACAGTCAAGTGGTTTCTGAAAACCAACAGACCATTCCATGTGGAAAGAGCGATCTCCCAATGATAACGTGAGACAAACACATTTCCAGTCATCCTACATGTGGCCCCACTTCCTGTACCCCACTGCATATTCACCCTCATTACCAAATATTGATCGCTGAGACGGACAGACTTCCTGTACCCCGCTGCATATTCACCCTCATTACCAAATATTGATCGCTGAGACGGACAGACTTCCTGTACCCCGCTGCATATTCACCCTCATTACCAAATATTGATCACTGAGATAGATAGACTTGGAATGGGTTGAGTTCACTGTTCGAAGATTTTTATAATAAACTTTTATTAAGAGTGAAAAAACTGGATCAAAATGTAAATGTAGGTATCACATCTATAAAATTCTTTGAAGAAAACACATAACAAATATTCATGACCTTGTATTTGGGGATGGATTCTTCGCGAGATTACCAAACTTGTGAACAAGAAAAGCAAAGGGAAAGGTAAATTGGATCTCAGCAAAATTAAAAACTTTTCTTGTTTCAAAAAACACCCATAAGAAAGTAGGCGAGGACTGGTGGGCTGGGTTAGGGGATAAAGTAAGAGCTGCCCAAAGTAATGACCTTGAAGAAAACATGTTTTTGCGAACTAGAGAAAACATGTTTTTGTGAACTAGTCGTGACCCCATCCTGCCTGTTTACTAGAACATTAGGTGTTTTCCAACAGCCTGCAAGTGCTTCCCTGTCCTTCGCCTGACCCGGCAAACGCCTGTCTCGCCTTTGACATAACCAACCATAGTAAATGCCCTTAAAATGAGCCAATCCCTGCGTTTGACAAACAACCCACTGTATCCTCTCCCTGAATAAGTGGTTTTTGCCTTTAAAAGTAGCCTGTAATAGCTAATCAGGCTTCTCTCCCTCACCTGGCTGAGGAGCCCATTTGAGAAAAACGAGAATAAATTCCTCTTGCTTTGCATCAACTGGACTGGTGAGTGGTTCCATGGGGCGACCCTCCTGAGGAGTCAGCATCCCAGAGTTGGGGTCTAATAACCTGAGTTCAATCCCTAAGACATGGGTGGTGGGAGACTCACTTCACAAGTCGTCCTGGCCACCACATGGATATTATGGCCCATGCCCCACCCCAAAGTGAACACAATAGGTCATTTTTAAAATAAGAGTTCTCTTGGTGTAATGGCGCATGCCTTCAATTTCAGCCTTCAGGAAGCTGAGGCAGGAAGGTCATGAGTTCAAGAGGGTTAAGAGAGAGAAAAACAAAGTAAAAAAGATAATCTAAATAATCAGAGAAATATTGTTAATATTTGATCAGTCAGAAAACTTGTATTTAGAACATGTAAAGTACAAATAAAATTCATACCAAGGAGACTTTATTTCTTCTTTTTTTGAGACAGGGATTCTCTATAGCTTTGGAGCCTGTCCTGGAACTAGCTCTTATAGACCAGACTGGCCTTGAACTCATGGAGAACTGCCTGCTTCTGCCTCCTGAGTGTGCTGGAATTAAAGGCATGCACCACCACTGCCTGGCTAAGAGACAACCTAATTTTTAAAATGGATCAAATATCTGAACAGACATTTTCCTTGAAGAAGTCATAAAAAGACCAACTATTACATGAAAAATGCTCAATATCACCAATTATCAGAAAAAAGCAAATCAAAACCACATTGAGGAATCACTTCATTCCTGCTAGGATCAGTGTGAGCACAGAAAAGCAAACAGGGCTGGCAAGAGGGCTCAGCAGGCAAAGGTGCTTGCTGCGAAGCCTGCCCACCTCAGTTCAATCCCTGGGGCCTACGTGGTGGCAGAAGGAAGTGGCCTCTGATGGCACACGCTGTGACTAGTGTGCAGTGCCCCCACCTTACACACACACACACACACACAAATAAACAGAGCAAAAACATTAAAATAGATAAAAGCAATGAAAAGAACAAGTGTTGTTAAAGATCTAGGGAAATCAGAACTCTTGGTAGAAATGCAGAATGGCTCAGCCACTTTGAATACAACCTGGCATCCCTCCAACAGCAAAACAGTTACCATATTACCTAAGATGTATGCTTCTAGCTATACATCCAAGAGAAATTAAAACAAACCTCTACCAAAAAAAGAAAGAAAAGAAAAAACAACTTGTGCAAAAATGTTGACGGCAGCGCTATCTGCAATAGCCAGGATGTAGAAACAACCCAAACGCCAGGCAACAAGTGACTCAATAGTAAAACGTGGCATATCACAGAACTGACGTTAAGCCCTAACAAGGAACGAGGCGCTCGCACGACGGACGAATCTCCACATCGGTTAAGCCTCAGTTTACCTGCAGTCCCTCTCCAGTTCCTTGGATTCGTCAGTGCAGTAAAAAAACTTCCCCTTGAAGAGCTGCACGGCGATGACGGCAAAGATGAACATGAAGAGCATGTAGACAATCAAGATGTTCAGGACGTTCTTCAGGGAGTTCACCACACAGTCAAACACAGCCTGCGGCGGGAGAGAACAGGGCACGGCCGAGGAGTGAGTCCGCAGGGGAGAAGCAAAGTGAAGATGAGTGTGGTCGTAGGGAGAGGCTAGGGCACTGAGAGAGGGCAGGAGATGGGGGCAGGTAGGAACGGGTATGGAGGGGATCGAAAGAAGGAACAGGACAGTTACAGGCTCAGAACCTCAGCACTCCTGAGGTCCAGACTCCCAGAAGTATTGAAGAACCACTTAAGACCCTCTAACCCATGGCCACAGAAGGCACTACTGCGAGCTGCCTTAACAGTTCTCTCTCTCTCTCTCTCTCTCTCTCTCTCTCTCTCTCTCTCTCTCTCTCAGGAAGGGCACATTATTCTGGCTTTATCCAGTGAGCTAGAGGTTCCAGGCCAGCCACCTGTACACCCAGGGAAAATGGCCTTGCAATAGGCTGGAGCCAGACCATAGGAAGGAGCCAGAAGGGACCAGGCCCGTTCAGAGAACACGTACTAACCTGTGCGCTGCCCCTGCTTTGCTCCTATTCAGCAACAGCATTGATATGGGGGACGACTAAAGCCACAGACAAGGGACTGTGTCCCTGAGGACCATGCTGCAGAGATTTGAATGTGTCCGGGATCTAGATGTGACTCAGGATCCTCACCCCGCTCCCAGGGCTGACCTTCCTCTCAGGTTACCCTGGAGACACTGGCTAGCATACTCCAAATGCCGGTGCCCAGCATTCTTCTAAGACTGCCCAGGGACTCCCTGAGACCCTCTCTGGTTCACTTCCTCACAGATCACTTGGTACACAAGAACCAAACCACCTCCCTGAAACTTAGACTTTGACCAGGGTCTCTGAGGTTCTCATGGCCGAGCTGCGGCAGTGAAAACTGACTGCCTGCACTTTGAAGCATTCGAGGAGCGAAAGCGCAGAAAGCATTTTGTTCTTGACTCAGGCTCAGTAGTTATTAGATTACGTTTACACTGCGCTTCCTCCATCTGGAAACTCAGCTGCACCCGCCCTGGGCAGCTGAGCCCAGCAGCTACTTTCTGGAATCCCTGACTCCTGGCCCCTATGCCCCTGGTCCTCTGTTCTTCCCTGTCCTGCCGCAGTGTCCCACCTGATGCTGGAGGCTAAGGAAGGGGGTCCTCTGTTAGGACTGTCCCCTCACACAGGTGAGCAGTCTGTGAAGACACGTGCACCCACCCCTACACTGGCCCACACACACACACAGCACATTCCCTCAGCCCCAACTCCAGACTCCAACCTTGAGCTTAGGCAGCCGTTTGATGGTCTTGAGGGGCCGCAGGACACGCAGAACTCTCAGGGACTTGATGGTATTGATGTCTTTCCCTTTGGATCCTCTAGAAGGGAGAAGTTGCTGATGCTGACAGGCAGAGAGCTGGCTTGAGTCCAGCTCTTACCCAGTCTGCTCGGTCTAATAAGGCCCTGTGCAATCTGTCTCAGGCTCCAGGCAGAGGACTTAGCGGGGGAGAACTCTTCCCACGGCGGCCTGAGAACAGTGGGTGGGCTACGGCCAGTACCGAACCAGAGCAACACAGCTAGCGCACAGGGAGAGCGAATTTCTCTAGAGGAAAGAGCCCAAGCTCTTGTCTGCAATGGCTACTTCCACCTGTGCAGAGTTCCTGACAGACACCTCCAAACCAGAGGAGTGGAGGTCTGTGAGCCTGCCTATTACACTAGAACTTGGGGGGTGCCACCTGACTGTCATCAGCTGCAGAACACCCCTCAAGTGACCAAAAGGGAAGCATGGGGTAGCAAGGCCAGATACTGGAGAGGTGAGATAGAAAGAGGAGAAAGGAAAGAGATAGAGGAGGGGAGAGGAGGAAAGAGAAGAGGGGACAACTGAGGGGGAGGAGAGGTAGGGAGGAGAAAAGAGAAAAACAGACCCAGAGAAGCAGCCAGATACCAGGATGACCAAGAAAATAGCAGACAGGACCGCTCAGGTGGGAAAGTCAGAAAGTTAGGCAAAACTCCAGGTACTAGCGACAAGCTCAAAAATCTAGGATTACAAAAGAACCCTCAGGCCTCAGTGGTTAAGGGCACTGACTGCCTTCCAGAGGTTCTGAGTTCAATTCCCAGCACCACCTGGTGGCTCACAACCATCTATAATGGGGTCTGGTGCCCTTGTTCTGGCATAAAAGCGTACATGCAGATAGAGCACTCATATACATAAAGTAAATACATAAATCTTTAGAAAAGAACCATCCTGGAAACCAGAGCAGATGCAAACGCTGTCCCAACCTGTTGGAGGTTGGGGATGGCAAGAATTTGCAGTCAGGGTCCAGGCTTGCAAGACTTGCAAGGTTGGGAAGAGTTCCTGCATACAGGGAGCCCTATCCTAGCCAGCTCAGACATCACTGCCACTCAGAACCCTGAGCCTGGCCTACAAGTGTGGCTGGGTCTGCCCCAAACGGCTTTCCTTGGGCTCGAGCAAAACTCTAGGAAAACAGAAAGCAGCTGTATCTCCCAGGCCTTCTTCACAGGAAAGGAGACACATGGTCCCCATACTTCCCTTTTCTCAGCCCAACATCTTGGAATCAGATCAAATTGTCCTTGAAGCTCAGAAATAAGGCTTGTAAGTACGAGGTTATCCTGGGCTGGCTTGGTTACACAAAACAACAAAACCTGCCCTTCTGTGGCCCAACACTTCCAACACCCACTTTAACCCACCTCACTCTGTCTGTAACAGGACATAGACCAGCCAAGGGTGGGTGGCAGAGGAAGAGGGGGACTTCTAGGAACTGTCGACTGGAGCCACTCTCTGGACTCAAGTCTTCCCGTCTCTGTTTGTTCAGAGATCACAGGCTGAGTCCCATTCTTTTTCTGCTACCCCTGAAGCCTCTCTGACACTCAGCCTGGAGTTCTCCAGAGTCCTTGTTAATATTCTAGCGAAATGTTCATTTCCTTTGTCATAGACAGAGAGTCTATTAAGACTCCTGGAGGAGACACTGGGAGGTACTGGGAAGGGGGTTGTATAGAGGGAAGGAAACACAGAGCTGCATTTCCTGAGAGTAACCATTTGGAAAAGCACTTCAGGATGTCTGGCATCATGGGCTGTGGTTACTACTGGCATCTTCCACCCTCACTGTTCTCGAGGCCAGTGCCACAGGCTCTCACATTCTCATGAGATACCCTGCTCACACAGGCCCTCCCTACCAAGGGCTGACCATGCCTAGCCCAGCCCAGCCCCCAACCGGTCCCCAGAGGCATGGCAGGAATGGTAGCCTGGGGATGGCTCCTAGTAAGTAGCATGCAGCCTAAACAGGGTGACGGTGGATGAGCAGGAATGAGGCCATGATGGATGGGCCAGAGGCCAGAGGCGTGCCATGATGTTAGGCAGTATGGAGGGAAGGGGAGGCATTACCCCATGAAGCTCCTACCAGAGTCCAGCAACAAGAAGACAGAGAGAGCAGAGTCAGTGTTAAGGGAGTGGAACACAGTCCTCCACTGGCCCCCACAAGGCCAGAGAAACAGAGACCCTCCCCTTGGGTCATTCTTGCCTCTAAATTTTGTTCCACCATTTCCCCTCTTGCACCTTATGTCCGGCCTGAACTAGGTTCTCTACGGAGGGTCTAGTCCCAACTATCACCAAGCTAAGGGAGAGTAACACAGGAACCAGAGAGAATAATCTCCTATCCCAACAAAGATATCTACCAGCTGGGGCAGAAACACACCAACCCTCAATCGGGCACACCTCAGGGTGGATAAGCAGGCTCCAAAGGAGCAAGGCAGGTGCCCCCAATCCACAGGTCTCTGGGGAGAAGGCAGGGCGGCTAGGCTCGAGCAGCTGTAGAGCACCCTCACGCCACCTCACGTCTCACTGCCTACACCCACCGGATCCAGAGGCGATGCATGGTTTACTTACGAGAAAGCAAATGCCACTAGGGCTCCGCTGACGACAATGAAGTCCAGAATATTCCACAGGTCCCGGAAGTAGGCTCCAGGGTGCAGCAGCAGTCCCAAGTCTATCATCTTAAGGGGATAAGCTGACATTAGAGTACAGTCCATAAGGAAGAGAGAGGCAGAGGCAGGCCCCAGCCCTGGAGGGACACACTTCTGAGAACAGGAACATGGTTCAGACCACACTACATACTGTGTACACTACGACATCGGTGTAGCTCAGACACACTCCACATACACTCTTGGAGAGGGGACACAAACAGGTCACACTTTTTTTTAATAATTTATTTTTATTTTATGTGCATTGATGTTTTGCCTGCATGTATGTCTGCGAGAGGGTGTCAGATCTTGGAGTTACAGATGGTTGTGAGCTGCCATGTGGGTGCTGGAAATTGACCCCACGTCCTCTGGAAGAACAGTCAGTGCTCTTAATTGCTGAGCCGTTCTCTCCCATCCCTGGCTCACACTCTTAAATGGCTTCAATAGGGCCTTGACTTCAGTGTCCCTAGACAGGCTATACCTGTCTTGAGTCCTGTCTACGTTCCAAGCTTTGCTGGAGCTCCGCTGTGGTAAGAAGTCTGCCTCATCGTCCCCTACCTCTCTAGCAACAGACATGCTCCTTCGAGAACTCACACAGCCCAGACTTGAAAGTTAAACTCGGGAGAAAATAACAAGCTGATCCGAGCCATTTCTGCTACAGGGACTTCTGGCAAATACCACAATCTTTGCTTTTCAACATCCTTATGTGCAGAGTGGGCCTGCCCCTTCCTCACAACCTGTGGGTGCACGAGCAGCAGAAGGAATAAGAACCATTTGTAAGTGTGCTGCGCACAGTCTCGCTGAACCGACTAAGAGCTTGCGGGACACATGTGCCTTTAGCTGCATTGATGCTTGTGCACATGTGTGTAGTTCACTGCACTGAAGGAACACCTGTGTATGCCAGACAGAGACACGGGGCCCCTTGTAAAGAGAGCAGGAGCTGCAATGACATGGCAGGCTCTCAGCCTATCAGGACATCTCTAGATCCTATAGAAACTGAGTCTGCAGCATCCAACAGCGCTCCAACTAGCTCTCTCTAAGGTCTTTATTCTGTGCCTTGTCATACGGCTCCTTCTTTGTGGCTATGTGGCAACCCTGGACAGGAGGCTAAGCACACACACACACACACACACACACACACACACACACACACTTTTAGTAAAGCCCAAAGTCCCCATGCTCAGAAGTCAGGAACACCAGAACCAAAGTACCCTAGCAGTATCCCATGGGACAGCATGACACTGGGGACCCTGTGGCTTGTAGGCTTTTAGTCATCAAAATACTTCATGCACACATGCACACTGACCGACTGAACACATGCCCGGGAGCACACATTACATGCCCCCATGGAAGCTGCAGGGGTCACTACATCTCACCTTTATGACCATTTCAAAGGTGAAGACGCCTGTAAAGATGTAATCCATGTATTTTAAAGCCTAGAACCAAAGGTAGGATTAGTTTAGGCAGGCCTGGATCTGGAGCCAGGATCACTGGCAGGATCCCAGCTTCCCCCCAGGTCTTTGAGCAGAACCAGTTGGCAACAGTGTCAGGACATCCCTCTGGAAAGGATCCTTTGGTGGCTGCCCTGCCAACTCTGGCATGTTACCAAGACAAGGGCTAAAGGAGACAGGCTTTTCCAGATCTTTGGTTCTAATACCCCCAGAGGGAAGAAGGTTGTCTGAGGGAAAATAGGACACCAGCTCCACCCCATCCCGTGGACCTTGGGAATATGTGTGGCGGCGCCCCGCAGTGTTCCAGTAGTTGTGACTCACATTGTTCCTGGAAGAATCGGTCCGCACAGGATCCTCAGCAGCCAGGGCAATGCTGCTCAGGGCAATGACCACAAGAATTACCATCTCGAAGTACCGCATGGTCACAATGTAATGGCAGAAGCGACGGAGCCTATGAGGACAAGGTTCAGGTCACCATAGGCCAAGACCCGAGTATGCCAACCTCTCCCACAAGAAGGGCTCACTGGCTACCAGGAGAGCAAGGCAGCATCAGAATGGAGCTTTGCCCCTCATTTCTGTGGTGAAGAGCCCACAGCCAGGTGACTGTGACTGGGTTTCCTGAAAAGGCAGTTCAGGTCAGGGATCAGCAAATCCCAGGTCGAGGCCAGACCTGATGCCTGTGAAGCACAGCTGCCTCCACCCAGTCGTATTCTGTCTGCAGCCCCAGGGCAGAGGATAGGAACCACCCGGCCCTTCACAGACATGTCAACAGAGGGGTGGCGTAGAGGAGGTGATCCGTGAAGAGAGCTCTTTAGTACATGAGCTGGGCAGCAGGCAGTGGGCCACTGTCACCTGCCTGGACCAACGGGGCAGCAAGCTGGCCACTGCTGGCCTAGAGTGCCTGAGTCTGTGAGAAGCACAAGCCACCACTGTGTACTTGCCGCCCATGTCAGCTGACCAGGATCTGTGTCTGGTTCTCAACATTCCTGTGCATCAAATGAGGAAGCCAAGTCCCTGGTTACAGGAAGCTCCACTCCAGTGAGCAGTCCCTGCTGAGCAGTGCACAGATCAAGAAGCCAGAGCCTCTCAGCTGTCATGTAGTGAAGCAGCCACCCGGTCAGGTCGCAATGACTGAACCCATGTGGCAGACAAGAAAGAATCTCTCCTACTATCACCAGCGCCCCAACAGGCTCCACAAGTCTACCCCTGCCATCAACCCCTCCAGGTCCCTTCTCCAGCTAACGTCTCCAGGGACATCTGCTGTCAAAAGCCTGCCTTCTCAGGCACTCACTTCTCCCCTCTTCCTCCGTAACCCTTTGCCCGTCCTACAGAGCTACTCTTCCCACGTCCCAGGCAGCCTGCTAGCCCTTTACTCCTCCATCAAGCCCTCTCTTCTTCTAACTCAGCCGTCCAGCTCATAGCTGCAGCTCCTCTGTTCAGCCGTGCTCCCAGCTCACCTGCCCATGAGCTGCCCCAGATGTCCTACGTCTGTGTGATCCAGCACACAGAATAGAGCCCCAGAGCTCAGCCAGACTCCCCCAAACACTTCTGGTCTCACTGATTTCCCAGACTTTTGTCAGCAAACGGAAGCTCACAGAGCCTCGGTCCCTCCCTTCCATCCATCTTTAATCCATCGCCATATTCTGCATCTGAAATTCCTGCCCCCCTCCCCCGCCCCCACTTCACTTCCATGCCTCTACTCTCACTACAAAGCCACACTTCATCATCTGGCCCTTGTCTCCTTACCATATCCGTCCACCAGTGGGCAGCATTGAGCTGCAGTAGACCAGTCCCACTGTGCCCAACCCTCTACAAGGCAGCCAGAGGCGAGAGCTTCTCTTTACATCCCTCCAACTAGCTGCCTTCGACTTCTGGGCCATCGTAAATGTCCTCTCCACTTCATCCGAGCACATCCTTCAAGACACCCTTCATGTTCCACTGAGCCCTCACTCCCTCCAGGAAAACTCCATCAGCCTTCTCCCGCCTGCTCCAGAACATCAGAACCTTCTCATCTTACATCTCTCAGCCTCACCAACGCAGCCATTCCAAGGAGGCAGGGGAAAGGGATGTCTCTGTTACCGCGAGCCTGGCCGAGTAAGCACCCAGTAAGCGGGTGCTGAGTGAAAACACCAAGGGTGGGGAAAGAAAGGGAGCACAGAGGAGCAGAGCTGTGTGGAGAGCTGAGGGCAGAGGCAGCTGAGCAGTGACAGTTGCTCTTCTGCCTTCTGACCTCTTCCCCACCCTCCCCACTCTGGCCAGCTGGCCTTTGTAGGGCTTTGACCTCCCCCTTCTACCCAGAGAGTTCTTCCTCCCCTTCCTCAAGTGTTTGCTGCATTCTTCCCTCTGAGGCCCCGACCTGACCACTCCGCTAGTTGTAGTGATACCAGAAGCCCAAGTCACCACTTCCGCTTGTTTCTTTCTTGTGCTAGTCACTGTCCCGTATCTTAAGACAGTCATCTTGGTTGTCCTTCCCACCAGACCACACACTTTAAACACAGTCAAGCTTGCCTGTCTTCATCATCACTGAATTTCAGCACATACAATGCCGTCTGCATGTAAATGTTTAGGTTAACAAAGTACCGAAATGGTGAGTGGATGAAAAGTCCTGACCACCGTGGGAAGGAACGTACGATGGCAACAGAGGAGGGGGAATGGAACGAGCTGTGTGCCTCGTAGAAACAGGGCCCTGTGTGAGGCAATGAACACAACGGCAGAGAAGAAGGTTGCGGCAGAGAAGAAGGTTGGTGCAGGGCTCTGAGAGGAACTGGCATCTGACCCAGCCCCCCACCACCAAGACTATGTGGCTGTGTGTCTATACAGGGCACGAAACTTTGTGCTTCTGTATCTTCATCTATAGAACAAAGACAAAGATGTTCAATAATGTATAGAATCAGTCTCTCCGGGGCGCATAACCCATACACACTGGCTAGCTGCTCGCACACTCACGGCAGAGACACAGGCAGGACAAACCCAGGCCGTGGGCACTGAGGAGACTCACAGGTTGGTGGGGCTGAGACAGAACATGGAGCTGTAGGGAACGATGGGCCGGGGGCCTCTTCTTAGCACATCGTCAGCCTCTGCCTCCTTCTTGCCCTCTGCTTGGCCTTCCAGGTCCACATTACCACCTACAGGGACACAGGGCCTCAAAGTTAAGGGATATCCACACGTAAAGCCATGACACATGGGTCTCTCCCAGCTCCAGACCATGGACAAGTAAGGTGGGCTACCATATCCCCAGGCAAGGAAGGATATTTGGCTAAGATCAATGCTTTACTGAGCAGAACATGATCCACCTCCAAACGAGAGAGAGAGGATGACTGGACACATCTGAGCAGGCCCTGCTCGCTCACCTCCTACACTGCCATGTGAGAGACGCCATGGTGGTACCACTCCCCTGATATGGACACCAGCGCCTCCCAGAGCCTAGGGAGCCCTTCCTTCTGCCTGGCAGATCTCTGGGCAGTGAGGCAGGGAACTTCTGGGAACCCATACACCTGGCAGTACCCCTGAGCCCCATCATCCAGGTCTAGCACCACTTGACCTGGGGTTTCTCTAGAAGGGCTCTGGAGAACAGAGGTTTTGCCAGCCACCCCACTTGTTGACCCAGCTCTTCGGGCTCCTCCCAGACTTCCACTCATCCCGCTCCCTCTCTACTGTCCCCTCCTCTGCTCTCTCAGCACCCACCATCTTTGTGCCCATAAACTCAGCTCCCTTAGGTTATAACGGCCCAGAGCGCCATCCTTTTCAGGTAAGCTATATTTCTCTCAGTTCTTCATTTTTAGCTATAATAATACACTGTTCCAATTCTTGTGGATAGCAGGGTGGCTAAGACCTCAGAGACATCAAAGGAGACAATGCAGTGGCTTGAGCCACCTCCCACTGCCGAATTCGTTTTAGCCTTTTAAAGACTACCCATAAAACCAAAGACGACATTAAAGAGCAACAAAAGCGGAGGTGCTCATGCCAAAGCCCACCGTGGAGACCAAAGAATCCAGCTTCTCCCTGACCACTGGCCACTGACACACAGGGGAGAACAGCTAGAGCAAAGCAGCAGGGCTTGGCTCCAGAACCACCCATCTGCAAGTGCTCTAAAGCAAACGCACTGAAAGAAGCACCATCAAATTTTCCTGCCGAAGATGTAAGTTTCATCGTCTTCTGAGAAGTAACTGGCAATACTTACTAACCCTCCAACATTCTAAGTCATATGACATTATCTCCGGGGGTAGAGAGAATCTGTTCAGTTCTTTAATAGTGAAAATTATAAACTGTGCAAACACAGGTAAGGTACAAAAATACATGGAGGATACGGAAAGCATGTACGTTTAAAGGACACAGAGGTGTATGATCTAGTGAGGTCCGAGGGGAGCCAAGAGCACCGTGCTGGCTGTACCACAGGAGCCCTGTCGCCGCAGAGGCACCACACAGGGACACAGAACAAGGAGACCCGGCATGAGTAGCTTCTGGCAACAACTATTTTTTCACTTTTAACATTTAGAAAATGCTTCCATAATGAGCACATACTTTTAAAGAAAGAAGTATTTTAACGTTGTGCCTTTATCTCCTCCCTGAGAAATACAGCAAAGCCAAGAGGAAGTAAACGAGGAAAAGAACCAATCTGGAGTCGAAGAACTAAATTACTAGAAAGAAATGAAATAAAGACACCAGAGCCTGGATGGAACTACTACTGAGAAAATTTGCCATAACAAAATCATGGAAAAATTACAAAAGCATACATACATGCGCGTAAGAACGATTAGTGACAAAGTGAAAAGAGGCCATGAAATTGAAAGAGAGCAAGGAGGGGTCCATGACAGGGTTCGGAGGGAGCAAACCAAGAGAAAGGGTCAGGATGAGAGCTTCCACAGGCTATGCAAATCCAATCTTGAAAGCCGGGTATTTAAACAAGACTTGTTACGAACAAGTCGATATACTGAAAAAGAGGACGCTCGGCAGAACAGTCAGCTGCAGAGTGGGTGGGGCGGGAAGAGAGCCAGACTCCAAGAGCTATGTTCTGGCTACCACTCAGGTGGTTTTCCTTCCTCCAGGCCCAAATCTAGACTGACCCAAGGAATGGCTGTGTGGGGAAATGACCAGGGGCACTGAAATGGGATCTCCAAGCATGGCACTCACTGTAAGACAAGGCAGAAACGGCCTCCTTCCTCAAATCACCTTCCAGAAGCGGCTACCCCGAGCAAGACTGGGCTGCTGGGGAGGGGACATGTAAGTCCTCCTGACGAAAACTAACTGTGTTTGGGACACAGAATCTCTATAAGCTAAGAGAGTTTTAAAATAATTTAAGCCCGTTTTCCTATTCATCTGGCACAGCATTGGTTAGATGCTGACTTAGAGAGAATCAAAGTGAGGAGCCAGTGAGTCCTTTGTAGGAGGTAAAGACCTCACACTGCAGGAGAGAAAGGGAAGGTGAACAATAATCACACTTTAAATAAAAAGAAAGGAAAAAGAAATGCCAATGCACACACAGGAAACAAGGCCACCACAACCAAGAGGGTATAAACGGCAGTCAATCCACTGGCACCGCCAATGACTTCAGATTTAGAGTTTTTTTTTTTTTTTTAAGATGACAAATATAAAATCTGAGAAATAAAAAGTGAATCTTCTCAAAAAAATTTCAAGCAATAAAACTCTAGAACTTGTTCACTGCCGCCCCCAGGCCCTGTGACAGCTGAGGAAACACAGGTGCAGTCTGTCTGAAGAAACCACGATCGGTGCCGTAAGGGATGAGAGCAGACTTCTCTGGAAGGAAGAAACAAGAGCCCACGTGTTCATCCATATGTTCTCTGAGACCAATTCCCATTTGCCACACTCAGCAACGAAATTCCAGCAGAAACTACTGTTTCAAAGAGACAAGGGTGGAGAGACTGAGTTTAAAGACAATGGTGTCTGAGTCCAGAGGGAAGAGCCCTAAGGAGACAGTAAAGCCATCGGCATCTCTGCGGCACAGACAGATGTCCCGGGGTACAGAGGAGACCAGGCTCCCTTGGCAGTAAGTCATCCCCCCCAATCCAGTCCTGCAGCCTGCAGGAGCCCCAGCTATAGGAGTTCTAACTGGTCTCCACTCTGGGTGCGAACGCTGTGAAGAAGAAAGCTGCAGTAATTTATAGACTATTCTTGTTTCATTCCTGTTCTTTGCAGTTATATGGACACCCCTTTCCAAGGGGCCTGTTGAATTTTCAGGAAAACATAAATCATGTTACAGCAAAAAAGCAATATGCCAATAAACTGGAAAATCTAAGTATTGTCTCTATAGATAAACAATGACAACTTCTATTTTAAGAGATCCTGAAAAACGCTGACTAGCAATGATAAGGAAATTGAGTAAAACGGGATACAGGCCACTGCTTGATGCTCACGTGCTTACAAAAAAATAGCTTAAGATATAAAGAACCAAGAGCTACACTTTCGGAGAATGAATTATCAACGAACCTCAAGAGAAATTATCATACAGGTCTGTAGGGGCATTTCAATTGTATTTTAATAAAGCTTGCCTGAAGATCTGAGAGTAAAACAGTCCCACTGGTCAGACTTACAGACAAAGTAATGATAACACACACCTTTAATCCCAGGAGCCACACTAGTTGCTATAGAAACTGGCCTTTAATCCCAGAAATAGAGAGGATTATAAAACAGAAGGAGACAGCTCTCAGTCACAGTCTCATTCTGAGATTCCTGGAGGCAGGATCGCCATTTCAGACTGAGGTCAAAGTAAGAGCCAGTGGCTGGCTGTTTTGTTTTTTTGGATCTTCAGACTGAACCCCAATTTCACTCTCTGAGTTTTTACTAATCGTGCTTCACAGGTCAATATCCTAATCATGGCACAGTTAAATTAGAAATCATAGTAACAATCAAAAAGGTTAAAATAAAAATTTCACATTTGGTAACTGTGTCATGGACTTTAAAGAGCCCACCAATCAAAAGTGAGACAATGACAATGACCAGGCAGGGTGATGTATGTCTGTCCTCGTGCTCAGAGACAGAAGTAGGCTCAGACATGTTAGGCTTGTTCCTTACACCTCAGCTGAGACAGCCACGCTGCAGGGAGAATTAGAGACCAGCGTGGTGAGATTCTATCTCGAAAAGTGTGTGTATGTGTGTAAACACGTGTTTACAAATCCTGCAGTTTAGTCCAAAGAAACACTCCTATGAGTAAGGAGAGCATTTATTTGCACTTCTGTGGCTTAACATGGTCACCAGATTAAAACTGCCTAAATTTTTATAAAGGAACAAAAGATTAGTAAATAGAAATTTTCTTTTATTTTGGAGATTATAATGTAATTACATCATTTCTCCCTAATCTTTTCCCCTCCAGACCCTGCCGTGATGCCCCTCATTGCTCTCTTTCAAATCTATGATCTTTTTCATTAACTGTTATTACAGCATATATGGAAACGTATATACAACCACATTCTTAACCTGCTCGGTCTATAAGATGTTATGTATGTGTGTTTTCGGGCTGACCACCTGGCATCGGCTAACCAGTTGGTGAGCTCTTCCCTGGAGAAGACTGTTTCTCCACTCTCATCGTTCCTTGGGTGACCACTATCTTTAGCCTGGAGAGTGACTCGGCAGCTAAGAAAGAGGACCCAGGTTCAGTTTCCAGCACTCACATCAGGTGGCTCATAACTGCCTGGAACTCTAGTCCAGGGGTATACAACGTCCTCTTCTGGCGTCCAAGGACACTGACCCTCAGGTACACACACACACACACACACACACACACACACACACACACACCTATACCCAAATACAGAGAGAGAGAGAGAGAAATTTTTAAAAAGATAGAAAGCAAAAACAAAAAAAAATACCATTCTGGAAAAAAATAAAGTAAAAAGACAAAATTTTCAGGATAAAAGAAATGAGAATACAAAACTAAAGAAGTCAGAAATAAATCTTATAATATGTTTGAACTGTAAGGACTGCATACTTGTGACATGTTTCTCAAAACATACAACAAACAAACAAACAAACAACAACAACACTAAACACTAAAGTCTAACAGCTATGAAAGAAACCAGCACAGGTTTGGGGTACAGCTCAGAGGCAGAGTTTGTCTAACACGCATGAGGCCCAAGATTCCATTCCCAGCGCCACAGAAGGATCTGGAGAA